TCCTTTCTACATGCCTTCGCTCCTTTCTACATGCCTTCGCTCCTTTCTACATGCCTTCGCTCCTTTCTACATGCCTTCGCTCCTTTCTACACGCCTTCGCTCCTTTCTACATGCCTTCGCTCCTTTCTACATGCCTTCGCTCCTTTCTACATGCCTTCGCTCCTTTCTACACGCCTTCGCTCCTTTCTACATGCCTTCACTCCTTTCTACATGCCTTCGCTCCTTTCTACATGCCTTGCATCGAGAAGTTGGCTTCGTTCAAATCAAAGTTGTACGCGTTCTCGCCTCCGTGCGACCGCATGTGCGACTTGAGCGTGCTGCGTCGCGAGTACGCCTTTCCGCACAGGTCGCACTTGTAGAGTTTCTCGCCCGTGTGAATGCGCTTGTGCACCTTCACGCTGTGCTTGATCGTGAACGCCGCGTTGCAGACGTCGCAGCGAAACGGCTTCTCGCCCGTGTGAGTTCGCATGTGCGCCTTGCAGCTGCACTGCCGCGCAAACGCCGCGTTACACAGCTCACACTTGTACGGTCTCTCGCCGGTGTGTATCCTCATGTGCATCTTCAGACTGAACTTCTTCGTGAGCGCCGCATCGCAGAGTTCGCACTTATACGGCTTCTCGCCGCGGTGCGACCTCGCGTGCGTCTTCAGGTAGGATTTCGACGAGAACGACGTGTCGCACTGCTCGCACTTAAACGGCTTCTCGCCCGTGTGAGTTCTCGTGTGACTCTTGAGATTACGTTGCATCGTGAAGGCGGCGTCGCACAGATTGCACTTATACGGTTTCTCGCCCGTGTGCGATCGAACGTGAAGCTTCAGCTGGTGCGACTGCTTGAAGGCGGCCTCGCAGTGTTCGCACTTGTACGGCCGCTCGCCCGTGTGCGTGCGCATGTGCACCTTGCGACTGTGCCTGACCGTGAACGCGGCCGCGCACACCTCGCACTTGAACGGCTTGATGCCCGAATGCGAGCGGATGTGCAGCTTCAGCTGGTACGACTGCGTGTACGCCGACTCGCAGCGATCGCACTTGTACGGACGCTCGCCCGTGTGACTGCGCATGTGCACGTTGAGGCTGTGGCGCGCGGTGAACGCCGACCCGCAGACCTCGCAGCCGAACGGCTTTTCGCCCGTGTGCGTCCTCATGTGCAGCCGGCGCGTGCTATGCTGCGAAAACACCGCCTCGCAGAGCTCGCACTTGTAGGGCTTCTCTCCCGAGTGGACGCGGAAGTGCAGCCGGAGATGCGACGACTTGGAGAAGGTCGTCTTGCACACGTCGCACGTGTAGGGCCGCTCTCCCGTGTGCGTGCGCACGTGGTCCGTCAGGTTCGCCTTGACCGTGAACGACGCCGCGCACGCGTCGCATTTGTGCGGCTTCTCGCCTGAGTGAGACAGAAAGTGTAACATGAGTTGCTGCGACTGCGCGTACGAGGCATCGCACTGGTCGCACTTGTACGGCTTTCCTTCTGCGGCGTGCGCTTTCGCCGACATGCTACGAGTCGCCGCCGACGACGCTTCGAGATAATCGATCGCGGGGAAAATAAGATCGCGGCTGGCGACGTCGGCCGGCCGCGGAAAAAAAAAACGCGCGCCGCTACGACGATTTCTTCGCGAACTGCATCCCGTTGTTTTCGTCGTGTCACGTGTAAGTTACATGTCGATGTCTTGACGTGGGCAAACTGTAAGGAAAAGGAAAGACTTCACGTTAGGTGACGCCGCGTCCTTTGAAAGCGACTAACCCCCCCCCCAAAAAAAGAACCCGAAAAAGGGAAATTCCACCGTCTTGTACATAGAACATTGAGTTTCAGTCATCTTCTCTGGACAATGCCATTGACATTTCAATGCTTTTAACTGACTGTCCCAATTGGGTTGTGACAGTTGGTCCACGTTTTATTTCAACGCTCAATTCTGTGCTCCATGAATAAAAACAAGAGCCGCAGCGCGTCTGGGCTCATCTGAGGTCTGTTGCTACGGTTATAAACGTAACATTTAAGTCGTGACACATTTGTTAGGCGCAGATATACAGATACGCAGTTGCGTACACATCATTTCAGCAACCTTTTGCATTCTGCATACCTCCCAAATCCCATTGGTTGATACAAATCGCGTGCCTGAAACTCCTGTTTTATGGTGCATTGTGACCCTAACCCTAACCCTAACCATATTAAAAATTTAAAAAAATTAATTGTTGTAAAAATTATTTGTTGTTATTAAATTGTTGTAAATAAATCATGTAAATATTTGTGTTAATTGGAAAAAATAGTTAAATGGATAAAGATAGAAAAATACAGAAAACAGGTAAATAATAAAAAATCAAATGGGATTCGATCCCACGACCTTTCAGCCGTGACGCTGTGCTGTACGCGTTCGGCTATCCAGGTTTATTGCGTTTCTAGATTATGGATGTGCCATGAATATGACAACACTGCACATGACGTCATTGAGGCAGTTCAGGAATCCATGTTTAACCCTCCTCTTCAGGGTCAAAAGGTTATCAGACACTTACTCTTCGCATGTCAGTGAAAAGCACATTTCATGGTCCTTTCAATAAAGTGATAAAAATGGTAGGTCACGCTGAAACAAAAAAGTTTTTCACTCTGTCCATTAGGCCATGTCCTCAGAAAATGTCTGATATCTGACCTTTCCCCCACTGCCCTTTGACCTCCAATTTCGCACTGGTGATGGGTTTCCTGCCCATCACACTATACACCGAATATTAAGAGCATAGGTTGAGCCGTTAAGATTTGTGCCGCAATTCCGTATTTCCTCCTATACCTTAAGTTAAGGGGGAAATATTCCCCCTCCGTTTACACATCTTGACCTTTGACCCTTGACCCCCAAATTTGTCATCCCTGAGTCCTTTTCACACCCCCCCCCCGACGTCCCGAATATCGTAACCGTACGTCGAGCGGTTAAGATTTGTGCCCAACTGTTGACGGACGGATGGACGAACGCACGAACGCACACACGCTCATGCAATTCTACAAGCTGCATCTGACTTCGTCAGATGAGCTAAAAATTATGCCTGAATACAAATCGAGAAGCGCCGGATTTGAAAAATCTACTGGCGAACACGCAACAATGGAAGCCATGTGTCACATCCAAATACGCGCAAAAGAGTAAGCTATCAGAATGGGTATCCCCTATTGTCACAGACCATGCACAAAAGCGGTTGACACTTCTAACACGGCATAGAGCGAATATTTGCAGTGTTAGAAACAGCAAGCCATCCGCCAGTTCAGGACTGGTAACTTTTTCGCAGAATTCACTTATTTTAATAGATGTTACTATCTATACTATAAGTGCAATGTCTGCTCCTAGGTGCTTTATGTAGTAAAAATCGAATTTTCGCAGTTTGGACTTGCCGGGTGTTCAGACGTAATTTCCATGACTGCTATGCGATCGAACTTGAGATTCTTCTCGTACCCAACAAAAGCAACAAAGTTTTCCGAGTTTCTCACAGTTACGCTCCAACGTTACTCGTACAAATCCACATAGATCTCGAGATTTTACGTGATTACGATAAATGCGTACTTTGTAAATACATTTAAATATACATTACGCAGTTTCCCCAACGTACATCATCAAGTAAATAACAAATAACGAATCACACCAAAATAATCACATTTAAAAAAAACTACGGCCAACTTCCAACAATTCTCTCTCACATCATGAAAAGTCACACCACATCACTGACTGCACCACCAGCGGTAACTCCACCATACGTCATTTTCCTCCACCACAAAGCTGTAGGGCATTCTATGTGACATAAGACTGACATAGCAGACAAAGTAACCGTTAGAATACCTCCTGAACTGCCAACAGTAACCATTGCATGAACCTGCAGTCAACCCCTACTCGTCTGCAAAGTTCTTGGTACACGTTAGAAGTCGCAACATCTAAACATTTTTTGGTGGCCGCTGCTGCAAAACTTTCTCACGTTAAGTAGAATTTATAAAAGGCGAGTTATCGATTTAAAAATTGAGCTGAAAATTGTCTGTGTAGTGCAGGCTGATACTTCATTTATTATGCGAAAACGCTCGATCATGTGAAATTCACGCGCGAATTATCTCCAAGTCATAGCAAAATCCTCTTTGTAGCTCTTTACAGTGGAAAAATAATACGGGGGCGGCGGGCGAAATCGCCCCCTAAATTCCCAAAGAGCTCCCGAAATTGTTATTACGGCGGCGACAGTTAAAAAGAAAACGGTTCGAAATCGCCCCCTAATCGCATGCCTCGACGTCAATGCATTGCCACTGGTTACACTAACCAGCCGCAGCTGCAAGCTGCTGCAAACTCGTAATGCCTGAGCTAGTGTCTCAGCTCCAGCGCAGTTGCAATATAGCGATTTGCAATTACAGGAAAGAGTTTTGCTGTATATATAATACTAAACATGCCCCACGGGACTGAAACAATCAGTGCACTCCCCCCCCACACCCCCCGTACTTCAGTAAATGCCGCCCCAGCCAGCAGGCACGTACGCAGCCACGATGTGCACAGCCACAGACGTGGGTAACACGGGTGTGTGAAACTTTGTGATTAACACAAGGTTTTATTCAAGTGCAAGAAAAGTAGCCCCGAAATTTATAAAAGTAACCCCAGAAAACAGTAGGCCCCGAAGTGGAAAAAGTAGCCCCATAAAATTGATAAAGTAGCCCCGAAACTTTTAAGGAGTTGGAAAAAGAGCCCCAGGAAATAAAAAAAATTCCATTTTTCCCTAGCTTTTTATATCCTATACAGCAGCGATGGCTCAATGGTAGAGTGCTCGCCTCGCATGTGGAAGGTCGGGGGTTCAACACCCGGCCGGGTCATACCAAAGACTTAAAAAATGGTACACACGGCTTCTCTGCTTAGCATTCAGCAAATAGAGATAGAGTGTAGCAAGTTAACTCACAGTGCTACCAGTGGACTAACCCCCCCTACTGTAGCATTTACTGTGAAAGCAGCTGCGGGGCCTCAGGGTTACAGAAACGAAGATAGGCACCGCCCTATGCACCATATAGGCGCGGGAAGGATTTAACTAACTCTTTATATCCTCTTGTGTAATCGTATACTGAAGCTATGGGTTGTGGGGTAGAGATACACCATCTATTTAGGGAGTTAGAAGTCGTGGGGGGGCAGGATCTACCTGATCATTTATAACCTCCTAACCTTACAAAGATTAGTCATCGAAGTCCAAGGGACTATATTGAAGACAGCGAGAGAAAAAGTTGACCAAATAGATAGATTCAACACTGCAGATCACAGCAGAAAAAGCTTCAAATTTGCATGTTAGATCTCAGTTGAAATATAGTCACTCAATACAGAAAATATGTGGCCAAAATCATATACATCGGACTACAATTATAACTCTCTAAAAATAACTGCTGGGTGCTGCTCCAATCCAAATCATGATTCTGCCCTGTATAATCATAATGCATATTCATCCCGGGGGGGGGGGCACTCCATATATATTGCATGGTAGGTATGTGCCGCAGGAAAGACCCCCCCCCCCCTTTTTCACCCAAAACTTCCATTTCAGTGCATCGCATTTTTAATATCTCGTTCCAGAGCATCACAAGTTTACATTTTCGAACATAGCCAGTTCCAGAGCATCCCACATTCAACAGACATTAGTTCCAGAGACCCCCATTTTCAGGTCTGAGTTAGTTCCAGAGCCCCTCATTTTTTACTTTGCAGTGGCACACACCTACCATAATGTGGGGTGAGTGCACCCCCCACCCCCGAGAATATTCATATTGTATTGACCAAGCCCCTTTCAACAATATCTGAACCTGCCACTGCCAAAGCACACGTAACCGCAAACATACATCTACACTGAGTGTAGGCCTATACCACGTAAACTGGTAAATGATATGGTCATGTCTCGAACAAAACACACATATAAATAGCAATGTATCAATGCACATGTATTGTATATATAGTATACATTGTATATATTCATATTGTGCTTGTGCTATTTTTAGATATCAGACATGCATTATACAGTAAAAGCTGAGATTAGTGTAGTATTTACTGATCCGTGAAAATACTGTTAATAAATTAGTAATTCATAATAGCTTGTGACATAGCATACTCATCTAACCTGAATCAAGCCTGAGAAAGACAGAACGTTGACGAAATAGAGACTTACAAAATGAAGAAACCGAGACACAGAGGAGGAAAAGAGGACGTCACAGATGGTCATTTGTTTTCGTGCCACAAGAAATTTATACTAGACCCGTTTGCCTGGAACGCTTCTATGGATTTACAATTGCACCAATATTTAATCCTTATGCACAAACGCAACTTATAATTATAATAAAAATGTTAATTGAATCACTTTTTAGCATTTCTTAATAATTTAACGATTACAAGATTACATTGGATATACACGGTATCCGAGGGGTGGCGCTGTTAAACGTAAACAGGAGGTGGTCGGAATTTGTGTTGTTAGTCAACGTTTTTGTGGTTATTGTTGGTGTTTTTGCCCATTTCGGTATAATTCGATTATATGTTAGTGATTTGCCTTGCTTTTGTCATAATTAGATGGACTGTATTGCTATTAGGATTGCTACTCTTACTAAATTGTAGAACTACATACGTTAATGTGATAACAGACACTGAGACACAGCCTCAGGCACTTGATTCTTGAAGCGTTTCAATTAAAATATAATGGCTAATTAATTAATGGCTAATTAATCAATTAAAATATAATAATGCTAAATAAATACGAAATCTATTTACTGCCAAATTCTTAATGTTTATATACCGGTACTCTCTTTCACCTATTACTAGTATTAGTATTATTGCTGACAGTTGAGTTTCCTGTAAATTCCGTCTAAATCCTCTATGTGCAACACACGCTACCGGCCGCCATGGCCATGGGCATGGCTGCCGCTGCACACTAGCTAGCTAGCAGGCTGGCTGCTGCTAGATTTTGTATTTATTTAGCATTATATTTTATTGAAACGCTTCAAGTGCCTGTGTCTAGTACTATAGCCCGCGTACAGTTGCCGCAGCGGACTATAGTACTTGATCTTGATCTTGATTGTGTACTGCGTCGACCACGTATGTACGCGTATTATGACGCAGGTGTAGAGCTAACTACTGTAGAGTGTAGTGTAGGCCTACTGTACAGTCACCCTTCGCTCCGCCACAGTCCAATTGCAGTGAGGTGGCATGTATGCCCTGTGGCGGAGCGGAGGGTTGCACGGGTAGTAGAACTACAACAGGTACGGTGACGTACCACTGGTAGATATGTATAGCCAAGGCCCTGAAGAAAGACCTTGTAAGTTGTAGATGTTCGTGCCTCTACCTCCACATTAGCTCTAGTACTATAGCCCTTCACTCGCGCCCGGCAGCGGAGCGAAGGGCTATAGTACTAGAGCTACTTCCAGATTAGCTCTAGAACTATAGCCCAGCCTGTGGCGAACAAGGGCTATAGTTCTAGAGCTACCTCTACATTTGCGGCCCGAAGTCCCAAAGTAGGATTGACCCGTTTTGTCACCGAGCATGGTCTTACGTTATGTGCGTGTATTATACTTGTAGGCATGGCTAGCGAGGGACGTAAAGTCGGGCGAGTATGTGTCGTTGTACTGGGAGACGTAGGTCACAGTCCTCGCATGCAGTATCATGCATTGTCCTTAGCACGAGAAGGCTTCCAAGTTGATCTTGTAGGATATGGAGGTAAGATTATATATTGTAAAATACTGAGCTATGTCTATGATACTTCAGTCTGATCAAGGGTCATAATAGTCTAGTCTTGTGGTATATGTCTTATTATATTATTGTAATAATGTCACACACGATTAAATTGGACTAGTCTTAATCAGGATCTTCGTAAAATGTCACAAATTTCACGTAGGCACTAGAAATTTAGAAGTAATCATATTATGATAAGAAGAATAAACTATTATGCAAACTGGACATCGTAACAAAAATGTTTTAACTCACAATAGCCATAAGGACCTGTTGTAAGTATGTTTAATGTTTATCCTATAGGGTCCCGGCCCCATGAAGATTTATTGGATAACAAGGGTATTCAGATTCACACCATGAGGAGTCCTCCAGAATTTCGTGCATGTAAGAACTATTTTTGTGGTAGCAAACCTCAAACCTTAAAGGCAACCCTGTACATAAAGATCATCATTTTTGTAGTAGCAGACCTCAAACCAAAACTTAAACCTATCTAAAAAAAGGTCATGCAAGTAATACCCCAAAAATGTCCTGTATGTACAGGTGTCTCTTCTGTAAAAGTAGTTTCACTGTATAACTGCCACTCAAGGGAAATGCCAAAAGTGTACTTTATAGTCATCTGTTGTTTCTATAGAGCTGTGCACTAACACACGTGTAACTGTGTAGGCAAGAGGATCTGAATCAGACTCATTAAATACGTTCATTTGGTTAGTAGATAATAGAGCTTGTTAATTAATAATATCTTGGTTAATTTTTACTCAACCGTGTTGAGTAAACCGATCTGAATCAGGTATTTCTACCTGAAGTTGGTTGCATTTTTTGTCTGCATTGAGTAGGAGGGACGTATCTGTTTGAATTGTTTTGGTAAAGGCGGATAATGATCTAAGTTAGGGTGAGAACCTCTGCTAAAGATGTATATGGCGTGCATTACAGATATGCCACGTCTCATGAGCTACGCAGCTAAAGTTCTGTGGCAAATTATGGCACTTTTCTTCACCCTCATCTTGCTGAAACGCCCTTCACATATTCTAGTCCAGGTTTGTATCCATTATAAGCCTTTCAGATGTGTATAGGTCTGTTAGATGTTTAGTCGATAGGTTGCTATGTTCGTTGTAGTTAATTAAATTCATGTATGCATACACTGGTACGTCAACTTTGCTGGCACAAGAAATAACATATTTTTGTAAAAAAAACACCTATGATTTCAAAATGTGGAAATGGGTGCTTGTAATATTGAATCTTTTCCTTTTTCACAGAATCCGCCTGCTATACCAAGCCTAGCTGTGGTGTGGATCGTGTCGTGTATGCGCAAATCAGCCATGATTATCGACTTCCACAATTATGGATACACGATTCTTGCAATGTCGCTCGGTGCAACACACCCATTAGTGCGCTTCTCAAAATGGTGAGCATTCGGATAGCTTTCTCCTAAACAACACCACTAACGCTGAGAGGGTCTATGTCCCCCAGGGTACTGCTGGAACGTACCCTGGTACTATCTAATATGCCGGACCGTACCTCGCCTACTCCACTAACGAGTCTAGGGAGTCGCCTACGCCTACTCCCTAACCCTAACCCTAACCATATCAGATAGTTACCAGGGTACGTTCCGGCAGTACCCTGGGTGACATAGACCCTATGAGCACCACTAACCCTAACATGCCAGGGCCGTAGCTATCTGGGTGGGGGGTGGCACAGGGGCAATTGCACCCCCCCCCCCCCCCCCCAAAAAAAGAAGATACAATACATGGTCAAAGGCTGTCACCTTCCCAGAACACACCATGTACATGGCTTTGCACCTCCAGGTTAGCTACGCTTCTGCATGCAGTGATCTTTGTAAATGCATTTGACGATAAAGACATCTTTTCACACAAATCGTGGTAGCTATCAGTGAACGTGATCCTTATCAGAACATATGGATGAGACTGCTGCCACATCTGCAGGGATGTGAATCCGTATTTAATTTCTCGGCAGGTATGAGGGCTTTTTCGGTGTGAGAGCCACTGCGAGTATGTGTGTCACTCAAGCTATGAAAGCTCACCTAGACCACCAATGGAACATAACGTGAGTCAGCAATCGGGCGTGCAGCGATATCGTGAAAGTTTCACAGCGTGAATCATTATATTCTTTATATTAGTATTTGTATCCTGCAATAGGTGGCGCTGCATGGCCTATGCAAATTTATGAATGTTGACATGGACATCCTGCTTGAATATGTTGTGGTATGACTCGGGTGTGTTAAATTATTAAATTATTATAAAATTATTAATTTTATTCATAAAATTCGTAGGTCGACGGTTCTGTACGACCGACCAGCAGAGTTATTCCACAGCATCTCTGTAGAAGAGAAGCATTGGCTATTCATAAAGCTATCCAAGGATTATTCCGTCTTTAGTCATGGGTACGTGAAGAATCGTGCACGTATTTCTTCCCACTTATGTGTCTGTTTCTGGTCTAATAAGCAGAATTTGTTGTGCTCCGCTGTAGCTGTTACCAAAAGTTTTAATCGCCTAAGATTTGTAATATTCTCTCTAACACAATACATTGTCCTTTTGGTCGTTCCTGCATATTCTCATAATTCTGCACGTACTATTGGAAATATATTCTAAATACTAGCCTAGCCACGTATAATTATTTTCTCCGTGCGGGATGTGAAGTCATAACAGGCGCGTAGCCAGGGGGGGGCGGTGGGGGCGGTCGCCCCCCCCAAAACGCCGGCCAAAAAGAGAGAGAGAGAAGAGAGAAAAGTAATGAAAAGTGTTTTGAATCCTAACTTGTAGGGTTGAGTCTAGGGTTGAGATAGTGTCATCAGACATGAGAATATGGCCCACAGTATGCCTCAGATTGCAGGAAAATGGCTTAAATGGTTCAAAATTTTCTGGGGGGGCATGCCCCCAGACCCCCCTAGCACTGCCATGCCTACGGCACGTGCCAAACGTACGGTTGTCAAATTTGGCATGTGCCAAACGTACGGTTGTCAAATTTGGCATGTGCGTGCATGTATGTATGCATGTATAAATGTATGTATGTGTGCTTGTGTGTGTGTATGTGTGTGTGTGTGTGCGTGTGTGTGTGTGTGTATGTATGTTCGTGCGTGCGCGATCGCGCGCGTGTGCGTAAATTATTGTGGGCTTACGATCGTGCGTGCGTGCGTGCGTGCGTGCGTG